TAAGCTTCCCGAAGAGTATTATAACGATAAACATGTCGTCAAATGTGAAGGAATGGCTGCCGATGTCATCGTAAAAGGCGGTGCAGTGCCAGAGGCCGTCCATTTCGCACTCAATCGACTCCTTAATTGTTTTGCACAAATCAAACACATTTTGCTCGCAATTTAACGCTTGGGTTGCAATCGATATGATCTGCGCTGTCATCGCATCCGATGTGTCCCTATGGCTGACCACCGGTGCGTTACTGTATTGTCTCGACTCCACTATCAGCTGGTAATCTGTTAGCTATGATAAGAGTGTTGTTAATCCGAAAATTGTTTTTTTGCAATGAAATTAATTTAATGCAAACTAAATGTATTATAAGTTGTAATACTTTAGGAAAGTTATTCGCCTTCAAAAGGGGACTCTTTGTGGTCAGTTTGTGAATGGTTTGCAAAAGTGTTTCTTTTTCTCGCTTACATTCCCGTAATCTGTCGTTCAATAAATGATTTGAAGTGTTAATCGTTTGGACGTCTTCTCTGAGCACTCGGTTCTGTTGGAGAAGACTATCGACACAATTGTGTTCACTGAGTGTTTCGCACAAACATTTGCCGCAAGTTTTCTTATTGAAACGACAGGTAATTATATGGTTGTCATGGCATTCAAGAGTCAGCACTTCGTCGCATCCCTTATCTTTGTGGGGGCAGTGAAGTCGCAAATTGGACAACATATTCAACACAAGCCTTAAGAGATAAATATTAAAAGTTATATTTATTATTTTTTAATTAACACAATTGTGTGAAAACATTAAGTTATTTTATAATTGCATAATATTTGTTTTACATATTTGTTTAATTGTTTAATTAATGCATAATAAATATGCAAATAAACCGATAACTATAATAAAAGTTTTAATACATTTTGACCCCTAAATGCCATAGGTTTGGCCCATAGACAAGTGAGAGGGTTGAATGTTGCATACCTGGGCGGTCGCACCAAATGAGTTGTCTTTAACTTTTTGCGATCGTAAGGACAGGTGCTGTTGGTTGAGAGCCAACCGATAATACAGTCCTCGCAGAAGGTTTGCTGACAACAGGGGCTGACGAGTGGACACCGAAATATGTCCTGACATATACTACATGTCAACTCTTGTCTCTCGTTATGCGTTAAGTCGATAAAGCGGTCCAAATCATAGCCCGGCATTGCATTCACAGTCAATGTTCACAAATCACTGCCACAAACGTGTGTTTGATATGAGTTTTTATTAGCAAAAACAATCCGCTAAACAAATATTAATTGATTTTCACTAAATGTCACATTAGTTCAAACAATACGATAAGTGAGAAATTAATTGGTGTTTAACATAAGTATCCCAAACACGGATATACACTTGATTTGTATACCTTATGCTATGAATGTGTTTCACAATAAGCAAAAGGTTTGTTATGAAATTGATAATCGCTTTGGTTATCGTGCAGTCTATTAAGCAATAACATCAATATTATAACTAAATAATATTTATAATCAATATATAAACTTCGTACTATTAATAATAGTCTATTATCGACCAGTCCATCCGACTTTTAATTGCCGTATTAGAGCTAAAATTTATCACGTTACACAAAAAATATACATGACACTACAGTTGGAATAAATAGTGTACTTTAAATTTGTTGTAACTTTAGCATGGATTTAAGTTTATAATGGTTAGTAGATTAGACAAAATCATACACAGAATTCTCTAGGAATGATTAATAATTATTTTAAATGAATTCAAAGAATATTATGATAAATTACTGAAACATTTTGCGTTATTTCTAGTTATTCATTGTAATGCTTAATAAATTGCTAATTTCTATAATATCGATACAAATATAATTGTTTTGAATGAATTCCTTAACAGTGAATCTTGTTATAGACTTTATTGATAGATAATAATACAAACTGAATACAAAGTAATTAAATAAATACGTGCATTACATGTGCTATAAATTATTTCATTATCTATATATTTACCTTAATTTTAGTAAAGAATAGGAAATAAATATGTGAATCACGAAACCGTTGACGGAATCACAACATTATTATCAATTATTTCATTCCTTCAATGTATTAATTATTGCAGATATACTGTACTCAATATGAATGTTTTCCCTGCCGAAAATGTGTCCGTGTTTTGTATACTCATATTAAATTAACCAGTGTAACAAATAACAGTTAAACTAATAAACTGGGTATTAAATGTTTACACATTTATAGAGTAGTGAAACGATTTCTAGTTAATTTATTTGTTTTCTACCATATATTGTATTATGTTTGCAATACTTTTAACATGCCAACATAAGTTAACTATGCGGATCAATAAGTGAACTGCCGGTTAACCAGGGTACTTAATGAAAATAACTAGTGCACCTTTATGAAAAGTTATTTTGTTATATTCAATAAGTTATTTTGTATACAAAATATCTTTCATGTGAAAATCTAGAGGCGCTTTACTTGTATAAAAAGCTTAGCAATAAATGCATTAATTTTTATTAAAATGATTAAGTAGTGAATTAACTAATAATTGAATATATGAAATGTGTTAATTAGACGACTGGTTGTGTCAACTTTTTGGTTGAGGGGTTGAAGGTATACAACTGGCATGTGATTTACCTTTGCTATATTTATTGTAACAATAATGTTATATTTTTACATTTAGTGAATCATATTTATTATCTGTACTAATTAATCCAACAATTAATTAATTTGTAGATTTATTTATCAGTTCTATTATAAATTATAACTTATAATAAAATAACTCATGATAAAGATACAATAGTGATTTTCAAATACATTAAACACCTAGCTAACCGGCAGTAGACTTATGAATCTACATTAGATGGAACAATATTTTGAAGTGGAATCATTATTGTACATTACAAGAAATAAATAACACAATTTTTTAAATAATGGATATCATTATAAGATTTTTAAAACTTATTATTATAGAAATTTTGTTATTGCAAGTAATTTGACAGTCACTTAATGATTATGCATAAGATCATCAACAATTAAATGAAAATTAGTTGACAATAATGTTAATTTCATACCAAAACGAGTTGTTTTGAAATATTGAAATACAATTTCTGTAATTAACATAAAATATTTGGTTTCTAAGTCTATGACTGATTGTGTTAAACAATTGATTGTTTAATAAGTTATTATATTGATTTGATTAAATAGCTAAATATAAGATATTTGTAAAGCAAAGTCATTGAGTGTTATTATAAACCCTATTATTAAATTAATTATCAGTTTAATATGCAATAATACAATATAATAATTTTGTATATTGATAATAATTGTATAATGATATAAACACTCAAAATATATATCAATACAATATAAAGTGGTAATAATTGCTGACTAAAGATAAGCGACAAACAATTGTGATAATAATTTGATAAGTAATTAGCAAAATGTGCGCTAAAATCAAGTTTTTGTTAAATAACTCAATAATAAAGTTTGTAAAACCATTACGAGTCGAGCCCTTTATGTTTCTATTCATGTTTACTAATGGACTGACGGGACAGACAATTCAACAGTTAGTTCAGGACAAGACATGTCTCTACAGCTATGGTATGGACGCCGAGTTTTGCGGTCAACTCAACAAACAGGCCGACAGTCCGGTTGAGAGTGAGATCCTGTCAAATGTGACCACATTTTCGCTGTACAAGAGTTTTGTCGAAACAATTCCGTTGATATTCTGGTCACTATTTTTGGGCGCCTGGGCTGACAAACACGCCGGCGCTCGTAAACTCACCCTAATTATTGTGGGCATTGCCTCTACTATTGAATGTACAAGAGTTTTGTCGAAACAATTCCGTTGATATTCTGGTCACTATTTTTGGGCGCCTGGGCTGACAAACACGCCGGCGCTCGTAAACTCACCCTAATTATTGTGGGCATTGCCTCTACTATTGAATGCTGTCTACTCTTTCTGAACGCATATTACTTTTCGTCAAGTATTTAACAATTAATTCAAAAAACAAGTAATCATTTGTTAAATTAATACTTCATTCATTTTTCATAGATGTATATCTAATACTATTGTCCCTTTCGATATTGTCTCTGTCCGGTGGGATGATGGGGGTTATGATGTCTGCCATGAGTTACATATCCACCACAACAGACAGCAAATCCCGTACAATACGATTTATGATACTTGAAGTGATTGTGTTTGTGGGTATAATTCACTATCACTTGCGTACAAATAATTCAAGTGTTTAACAAAAGTTTATTTTGATCGCAACAGCGCTTCCCATAGGAATGTTCATTGGAGGGCAAGTGATCGGAGAGACAATTAACAGTCCAGGCGGACAATTGCATCGATATATGCTTGTGTTTGTCATCGCTTTTATCGCCAGATTGTTGGCAACCCTTTGGATAGCATTCATACCATTTGAAAAAGGGATCACAAAACTTGCAAATAATAACGATGTGATTGTCTACAGAGCTATTGAGTCCACCGTTGATATCGACGACGATATGATTGATGTGAGGGAAGAACGGGAACCGCTTCTTAAAAGGAGAGGAAGTAATGCCACGAGGGATGACATACTGGATGAGGACGTATTGCCACAAGAGTCTAGTGATAATCAATCAACTGATGGCCGAGAAGAATGCGTTCACTGGTATCACATGTTTAAAGATTTGTTTGATATGCAAAATGTACGCTATGTGTGGTTCGCTTACACCAAACCCAGACCTAATGGCAAGAGGGCTAAGATATGGCTCTTAAACTTGTCGATGAGTGTGATTATTATGTCTGTCTTCGGTGTAATCAATATTATGTTTCCATACGTCCAACGGGTATATGAGTGGGATTCCGAGCAATTGTCAACAGTGAACGCCCTGTCCTTATTGGTGACGTCGGCGCTCATTATGCTTATAGTGCCGGCACTTATCAAGCAATTTCACGTCTCGGACAACACCCTATCAATTATGGGCACAATTAGCAACTGTTTAATGAATATAGTGTTGGGAACCTTTGCCAATGAGACGGCATATTATATCGCAAACATATTGGGATCGATGCGTTTGGTGACCGCCGGAACCGCTCGCTCTCAGGTCTCGTTTCTTGTCGATCAGTCGGAAGTGAATAAAATATTTGCAATGATGTCTACCTTTGATGAGATCGCAAAAATAATCGGTTCACTCGTATATACGGCTATATTCAACGCAACCCTTGTTAGCTATCCGGGGGTTGTATTTCTCTTCACCGCGGGTTTGCTTTTAATACCGTTAATCTCTTTTGTTTATATTTCTTATAAAAAATATTAAGTTTATTTTGTGATAAGTTATACGTATTTTATCACAATTTTGTGATTTGTTTTAAAAATTATGGTATAATTTAGTAAAAATTAACCGAATCTCACAAACTTATGAAAAGCATCTCATGTTTTAATTTATTAAAATTTGGATGTACTCACTATTTACCATGTTTGAAATTGTTTTTACTTTAAATTATATTGAATTATGTGAAACTCAATAAAATAATGATTTACTGTCTTACTGTCTTTACTGAATTAATGATTAAAAGTTGTATGAACTTTTAATTAGTGTTTTATTTTAAAATATCCCGCATTTGTTTACGTCTTGAGCCCCACCGGGAGGCCGAGGGGGTCCACTAACCCGCCACCACAAACAGCACACACGCCCTCAGACCGGGTGGACTGTCCCGACTCCCAGCACCGCATGACCAGTGATGACGTGGACTATGCGGACTCCCAACACCCCTGTCC